ATATATATATATATATATATATATATACGACGTGGTGAGGAATGATCCATGAAAAATGGGCACAGACTCATAATGGATAAAATAATTTTTAATAAACTGCTTTTCCTACAGATATCAAAGTAATTGCAAATGCTCTTTGGTGCTTAATATTTAAAAAATTATCTAGTTGCTGTATAACTCAGTGGAATCCATATCCTTGACACACTCGCAGATTGAACTCGACACCTTCTCTATAATCGCTGTTTATCAATTTCGAGGCAAGAACGTTTGCTCTGATCATTCCGCCCCCAATCAAATTTATGCCAAATCAGCAAACCGATTATTCCAAAAAATTAAAAACTGAAATAGTAAATTACATTGATGCTTAACATAAGTGTAAGCAATCGGAATAAAACATATTCTTTTCAAATCCGGTTCAGAGACGTCCATTTTGAGCATAGAGACTTTCAATTCTGATATAATTCGGACAGATATTTCTTGTAAATTCAGTTTAATTAACATCTATTGCGATCTCCTTAAAACTTAGGTTTTTTACAAAAAAACATCCACAAAAATGGAGGACCTTTCAGGTCTTTGTTTCTGACAGTCATGGGCTCCTAGATTTTTATTATCACTTTACAGCTTTATTCAGACATCACTTCGAATGCGGGATTTATAAGTGGTGAAAATGCTATCGCAAAATAATACTAGTTTTTCATATGAAACAAAGTTACATAATTTAAAATAAAATAATGGATCTTTTCACATTTTCAACTCAAAAGATGAGCAAAAATTCATTTATTTTTCAGATGTTTGAGTGATTTTTTATATAAGTCAAAAAATCAATTCTCTCTTTCCAATTCAAAATATGATATTTTAACTTAATGGAATACATTTAATTAAATAGTAAATCTACTCGATGGATATCTGCGGAAACCTCAAGGATCTCACAACAGCGATAGTAACCCCGTTAATATCGATGCATCAATCTGTCACCAGCCATTGGAGAAGGGCATGTGTACGGCGTACTTCAGACGATGGGGATTTGATCCCAAGGCGGATAAATGCATACAATTCGTCTATGGAGGATGTGGTGGAAATAAAAATAACTTTGACACAAGGGAAGTATGTGAACAGAGGTGTGCTAGTAAGTAGCCTAAGTTCCTTACTGATTGGATTCCTTTTCACATTTTCTATAATAAACCATATAAGGCGCTGAAGTTAAAGTGGTTTGAAAGTAATGCGCAAGTAGCATATTCTTAATAAACTTCTATTCAATGTTACTTTTCCAAGGAGCCCTTCCAAATCCTGGGCCTGTTAACAGAAATGACACCCTGGCTTCTGTCTGCCGACTTCCACAAGATGAAGGCCCATGCAAAGCTACTACAAAGCGTTGGTCATATGATGTGTCCCTCGGCAGATGTGTCGAATTCAACTATGGTGGCTGCAGAGGAAATGCCAACAATTTCAAAAATAGGGATGCTTGTGAAGCGATGTGTAGCATTTGTAAGTTTGTTCAACTACTTCCAACAATGAGATAAGTAGAAGATTTAGATTGTTTCACTAAGAGGAGACTTTTGTGCGCCTCTGTGTTGATCATTCAAGTCTTCTGTGTCAACAAAATGACTTTCAACCAACGAATTATGTTTCAATTGTTTTCTGTTTGTTCAAAACTCGGCAAGTGAGTACATTGTTGAGTGGCGTCTTAAAGTCCCCCATTGATTAAGACATTCTCCATTCTCCACTTCGTCTACTAGTGCACGATGATTCGCATTTCGAATTCCATTTAACCTACTCAGTAGCGCTTTATAACGAGGTGATAGTTGCATAATAATTTTTTTCAAGTCTTTTAAAAAACTATTACATAACTTTGTAGATTGTATGAGTTGTGTGAGGAACAGGTGTGCAATAAAGCAATCGACTGAGGTCGGGTTCTTTATTCGTTGACAGAGCAGATGTGTGGATCACTAAGCACTTATTGTCAAGATTAAAAAGGCCTACTAGTCGGAGCGGGCAAGTACTAAAATTGAAGTCTTTAAGCAGTTTAATAATAATTTGGATCCTACTTATTGTAGGTTATAGTTTCAAATGAAAGCATGACTAATCGGGTCAGAACTATTGAGGTTGAGCACTTTTACACCATTGATATCGTTCTAACGCTTATAATTGAGCAAATACCCTATTTTAGATGTGAAAATGAGCATTCATCTATATTTTGAAAGTTAACATTAGTTTGTTTTTTTCATTCCCAACTGTTTTCCTGACTGATTTTTTATTTTTCCCCTTAGCCGACGCTCAACAACTTCCAAACCTTGATATTTGCAAGCTGCCAAGGGAAGAAGGTCCGTGTCGAGGTAAAAACCAGCGTTTCTACTACAACAGTGCGTCGGAACAGTGTCTGGAATTCAATTACGGTGGCTGTAGGGGAAATGCGAATAGCTTCCTTACTAAAGCTGAGTGCGAAACTAGATGTACTGAGGCAGCATAACGACTTCTGAGTTCCACTCCAGATCTCCTGACTCTGCTTTGTTCTCTACAAACTTCCTTCTGAGCACCCTTCTTTTCTATCTATGCGGAAATATGAAAGCTGTGCATGTTTGTGTTTTCTCTATCGCTTCACCCTGTTACTTGGCCTTTTGAAGTATTACCGTGCTTTGTGTACCATACTTCACTGTGAATATATGATACTTTGTTTTAGTATCAACCACTTTTCAACCAGGTTGTAGTTAAAGCAAATCCAGTGAACTTCTCTGTTATATGCCCTTAAAAATTTTATTCTCAAAAGGATCTTGAAGGAAAATTAGGTTGTCTAAACAATTTGTAAACTTTAAATAAAGTGCGTTTAAATGCAGTTCTTTATGTTCAGCATTAAATTAAATGTGGCCTAACAATTTTTTAAAAAAAATACCCTAATCTGTTCAATCTAATTATATTTATTTTAACTAGTCCACACATATTTTTAATTTTATAATAAATCAACCAAATTCGTCTGTCTTCGAAATAGTATAATTGCTGTTTGCTAAAGTAAATTTTCCGTGGTATCAACTAGAAAACACATTGTCAAACCTTTAATAGCCTTTGGTATCCCAAACGGGTGCAAATGCGTGGAGATACTGGCAGAGTCCCCTATCGTGAATTTGGCCCTAGTATTAGCTTGACTACGTCAACAGAGAGAAGAACATTGAAGGCAAAAAGCGCAGGAAGTCTATTGAAATCACAGACCATCACCTAAATTAGATTACACTAATTTGGTTCCCTGATTGTGGGGGGGGGGCTCTATGCCACACGTTCTCCCTGTGCGATCAGTAACACAACAATTTCTGAAACCATGGGTATGCGATTGACTTACCTCCATGTGGTGCATCCTGGGCAACGTATACTCATACGGCAAAAAAGTCTATAAACCGGCAGTTAACTTCTTACTTCAAACTACCATCACCCCATTGTATGTCATATTCCACCACTTCCACAGTACTCACCTCACCTTTTTTCTACCTTTGTGTCTGTTTCCTTTACATCTTTGAAACACTCTTCATTCCCCCCCCCCTTTAGACTTTTTTTTCACTTTGATGTTCCTCCTCCTCTCTGTGAAGCCTGAAGTCAACTAAACTGTTAATGATTAATATCAAATCGCCTGCCATGTGATATAAATTAATTAATTAATTTCTGGAACCTTCTAGGATGTATGCGATTCCTTTAACCTGCCTTGGTAAATTTATCCACTCTCAAAAGCCCCTATCTGAAGTCAATTTTAAGAAAATTTACAAACACTGACGTAAATGTATTTTCCTTAACTCTGAAATAGTTTTTAATCTTGTAGATGTCATACCACAAGTTGTTTATGAAATGAAATAGTTTTGAAGGTTACAGGGTCGATTTGAATACTTTTGACCCTTTAGAATCCTTACAATAATTGAAATGGATGACAAGTTTACAAATGAAGAATCATTGAGTTATTGCCTTTGTTATCTATCAGAAATGGGGTATTTCTTATTTACATGTGCATTGTTTACTAAAATACTAAGTAAAATCCCATTTTAACTTAGAAGCATAGATATGCTATTTGGGAAAAGGTAAATTAGACTAGTTTTTGAGGTATATGCGAGGTACCTACAAATTCAGGCTATATTGTATTGCACTGAATCATGTCTCCTTCCTAGCAGTCAACTACCCGTTAATAAACAAAGAAAATTAACTCGGTCATCAGCATTAGCGTAATTCATTTCGCTCGTTTATCACCACACAAAGGTCGTTCCCCCCACCTCCCCCCACTGCCTCCTTTTTCTGCTCCATCTTCTTCTTCCCTCTCATCCATCTCGATTTTGCCAGTAAGTAGGTGGTTCATCTTAAGTCTTGATCTTCTCACAGAGGAAAGGTAATTGCTACATTTTGGCCTCCGGCATATTATTAGCTCCATGGGGAAATATTTAGTCAACTTTGTTTAAACTCCAACAGTTGTTTTGTTTAGCGCGTATTAGAGTTCCTTTGGGGATGCAATAGCAGGTATTTTTCCTGACACATGAGGGAATCTCGGGTGAAGAAGAAAGATAATGGACGAGAATAACTGAAAACTCTCAAAGGAAGAAATATTGTTTGTAAAAAATCTTCTTGGAGAGGAGTGTGTTTGGTTTCAGGCTCTAATTTCGAAGTTTGATCGCCTTCCGTTATTTTGCGACCACTTAAAGATATTTCCTATTGAAATGCCATTATTACTGCGAACTTGGAAAAATATAAGCTGATCAATATTAAAACATTATTATTTTTTATTTTACCATCCATAAGGAATTTAAAACGTTGAAAAGAATTTAATTTTTTTGATAATCACATTTAATTTACGTGATAAGAGGGTGACACATGCGATAAATTATGAGCGATAATCCAGACATAGACAGTTATTTGAGAATTTTATTGGCGTTCTTTCGGTACCTTTAAGCCTATTAAGACTCAAAAACCACCGAGTCATTTCGTCTGGCAACATGCAGAAAACTCTGTGGAAGGGGGTGAAAATCTGGAGAATGTGTGATCCATTTGATCAGCCCTTGCCAATTTTTTGCCTCTTTAAATGGATAATTGAATTCAAAGTGTTACGATTTCTGAAACAAGGATAACACCAGACCCAAACAATTACCAAAATTCTTGACACAACCTGGTTTAGAAATAGGTTCCAGAACATGAATTATTTTCACCCAATACATGACCTTATAGGCATAGGGATATTTGACTGACAAGGGGGATGTTTGCTAGCTTTGAAAGGTAAATGAAAAATTATTTTTAAAGTCGGGTTAATTGCTTTATTGATCTTGAATAGCTCTCATTCAATTACTGAATTCTCAATCTCGATTTAGTCTATTAAATGAAATAAAAACTCTGAATTATTAATCCCTCTTCTTTGGTATTGGTAACAATGTATTAAAGCTAAGCGAAGTATTTCCATGTTAATAGAATTGCAAAAGTCTTTCGCACAACTAGGACAGTTCAGAGGAGACTGGAATTTCCTTCTAATTTGATGACCAAGTCTTATAGAATTATAATTAGGTTATACAGCTTTCGATATGAAAGTGCCTATGGTAAGAGATAAATAAAGTCGGAGATTTTTGCCTTGAAATCAACATTTCCACCTTGCCAAATCGACATTAGATTTTCTCTGTCTAAAAAATAGTTCAATAGCGTTTTGAAAGCTCTTGGTTGGAGATAACTTTACAAGGCTCGCTTAATTTTAGCCTACTCTGTTGAAATCCATCCGATTGTAGAAGAATGCGCAAGCCAAAATCAATCACCTTGAAAAGTTTAAGTTTCACCTTTAGCCCGTTTGAATGAATAGGGTAGTACGATTCAAGCAGAATTAAAACAATTTTAATGTAATTGAGACACCAAGAGAGCCTTATTTCTTATGGCGGGTGCTATGCAAATATGCGTGGACTAAACCCCAGATATCTCGATGCCAAATTTCCTTGTATAAAACCGCTCAAGAAAATTAACTAAGGTTATATTCAATAAACTGATAAACACTGCAAAGTTTATTGATTGGTTGTTGGCTGGGAGGTTTCTGCATTCACAACCGCACTTTCTCCCTTCGTGGCAAGCAACACAGCTTACCTCCAAGATTGTCTGAGTGCTCGAGAGATTCCAGTATTTAGCCATGGTAGTATTTGCATTCTGTTGATTCCTTTCTTCTTAAAGGCTACTACTGATGATAAGCTTTTCTGCGTTCTTGGATCTTGCTATAATCTCTTTGATGTCAACTGTTTATTAACGCTACTAAAAATGTTTTGAAGCCTGGAACAATTATGCATTTTTATTTAGAGTTGGTTTTTTCCCTTTGAACCACTTTCATCGAGTTTAATGAGGAGTCGCTCCAAAGACGACCAAAAATGCATAATTTTAAATTGGTATGGTATTTCGATAATTTTATTTATGTAATTCTATACTTTATTAATTGACATTGCAAAAGAAATGAAAACAGCTTGCAAACCTCATAAATGAGTTTTAGAATATAGAAACATTTATTAAGCGTGGAGATATTTTTTCGAAATTCAAGGACGTTTATAACTGGACCGTTCACCACAGTTGAAATAGTTACAATTGTGGGACACGTTGTCGAACGCACACACGCCAGGATTTGGAGTGTGCGGCCGTACGTGTAGAACACAGCTCAAATATTTAGCTATTAATGTTCCCTCAAATTATTCTAGATTTATTTGATAACAATTCACATTTTTCGGATTTCATAGTTTGCGATTAACGTGTTCTGTGTGATATGTCTCTTTCCTCCCTAGCTTCTCTGCAGCTTAGCTAGTTCATGGAGTCTAGCCAGATGTAGGAGATACTGGCATAGAGAGATTTCTGAGTCGGTCAAGGTTTTACTAGTGTAGCAGTCCGCTACACAACTTAGCGAGTTTCGAATTTCGGCATTACCGAAATAATTGTGAACACCAAGCTATTAGGTTGGAATTGTTTTTATTTTTATCAAAATTTGGGATAAGAGAACCGTAAAGTAGCTCTACGCCACTCTTTATCAAGATCTGAAGTAGTTGTCATTTGCATTTATTTAGTCTTGCGAATCGTTTCTGAGAATCTTGAAATTTAGCATTATTAATCACGAAAGTACTTATAAATATCATATTTATTTTCAACATTTCATGATGTGAGTTTTTCAAATCATGAGAAGAAATTTATTATTTGATGCATAAATTTCTCATATCGCTAATAATAGTAACCATGATAATGGAAGGAAAAATTTATAATGATATTTATGGAAGCATTTTAAAAATCTACTATATTTGACCCGAAACAGCGGAATATTAAATCCTGTATTCAGTAATTGTAATTCCAACATCTTGTATGTAGAATGAAAAAAATATAGGCAAATCGCTAGAATAAAAGAAATAAAATAATTTAAAATGATGGACAAAATTGAAACATCATGTGGAAAGTGAGATAGGGTTATGCAAATGCATAACATTTCACTTCAAAATACACAATTCAAGAACCTGTCATATTCTATTAATAAGTTAAAGTGACTAATTCCAGATAATGGAAAAGTAAGCAAAAAGTAATAGGTGAGCTTTATCTATGTAAAGGACAAATATTTTAGTGCTATAGGAACTCAAGTTATTATAAAGCTAATGAACATTTTTGGCCCGTTAGATTTATGGCAGTTAAATAATCCAAGTGAAATGAAGCTGAGTTTAGGTAAACCAAATTTGAGAATTCTAAGGAATATCCATGCCATTAAGTCTAAGTCGAAAGAAGTATCGTCACGATATAATTGGTTGTGATAAAAAATTTTCGAACAGCGCATGGACACACCTCGTAAATATACATTAACAATATTAAGCATGGTTCTAAAATATTTTGCAAAATGTTTCAAAGTTCACAAAATACATTCCCTCTCTGAGAAAAAATCGAAATTAACTAATTTATATATTAAAAAATTGACACTTTGACGTTATAGAATGATATTTTATTGCAATTGTGACATATTCTATGACCTTCAAATTTGTAAATCTGACCAAAGAACTTGCACAAGAACGCTCTCGGGTTGCTGGAATATTTTCGCCGAAGCTTGCCATGAATATGGGTGTCGGAGGTAGAGATCCATTGGAAGGTTGTCGTGTTCCAGTCAGGCTTAAACATTCCAAATTATATCGTAAGTAAGATGTGGCTTTAATTGTCTTAGATTCTGCTGAAATCCTCAAGGTCAAACGGCTTGATAATGATCGAATCCAGTTTTACATACATTTCGATGACTGTATGGTGGATTTATTTTAATTAATATTTTTATTAGTCAATAAACGTTTGGATGAATGGGTTGACCAAAGTAGGATAGACTTTGAAAGAATCGAATACCCCCATAAGAAGCTTCCACGTGACAATACTTCGTTGTCATTATCACATTCGGTTTCTGTGGATACTTCGATTAGATTGCCAGTTACAACGGAGGATAATTTTGACAACGAAAATGCATGTTTATAATGTGTTTATATAATCAGTTTATTTAGAATTTATCTCCTCGTAGTCGAGTTAGCTCTACTGGATCCCTGCTTAGACGAAAGAATGGGTCAGATGATGAGGGTGCAACACAAAATCCAGAAGAAAGCGATCGTCCGAAGTTACAAATCAAACCTCGACAAACAGGAAGTATGATCTCCAGCCATCACGAACAGGATACAATCACTCGAATCAGAAATATCGAATGGATTCAGATTGGTCGTCACAAAATTAAGCCTTGGTATTTCTCTCCTTATCCTGAGGAATTAGTTTCCGAACCTTGCATTTATATCTGCGAATTTTGTCTCAAGTATCTCAGGTCTGATGTTTGTTTAAAGAACCACCTGGTAAGTGAATTTTTTTCATCGACTCCTTTCCTTCAGAAAAAGTGTCTTTACAAATACCCCCCTGGAAATGAAATTTATCGGAGAATGCCGCATAGTTTTATTGAAATTGATGGTAGAAAGAACAAAATCTACGCGCAGAATCTATGCCTCCTTGCAAAGCTCTTTCTGGATCATAAGACTCTCTATTATGATACTGATCCGTTCCTCTTCTACGTTCTTTGTGAAATAGATAATTATGGATATCATATTGTTGGCTACTTTTCCAAGGAAAAAGAATCTACCGAGGATTATAATGTAGCATGTATTTTAACCTTACCGCCCTATCAACGTAATGGCTATGGAAAACTTCTAATTGAGTTCAGTAAGTGAATGGGTTCGCATTCTTTATTTCTAGTGCTGTTTATTTAATTTTGTTTTTGTTTATCCGTTTAGGCTACGCTCTTAGCAAAATTGAAGGGAAGTTGGGATCCCCTGAGAAACCGTTGAGTGATTTGGGTCTATTGTCTTATCGGTCGTACTGGTCGACGACTATCATGGAGATTCTAATTTCAGTCAAAGCAGCAGAACCTGGAGGAGAACCTGGAATTAGTCTGAGGTAAGGAGGCTTTAACTTGCTAGATATTTTTGTTCTTATATAGTAGTGGTTGTCACGAAGAAACCTTCGAATTCCTACTTAACTTTGCTTAACCGTATGTTATAGCCGAAGCCTATCTTAGCATTAACTAAGATGTAGCTAATTCTATCTGTGCATATCTTTTATAATAGATGGCCTCCTGTATTTTTAATTATTTTTTGGACTATGTGCTGCAATTCGTCTAAAAGTGGTGCTTATGTTTAGCAATTTCATACAAATATTGAAATTTGATGGATTACCAAATGTAATAAAAGATCGTTTGTAATGAAATCTATTCACTATTATTACAGAACAAACAGCATCTTCATGCTTCAGTATCGATTATTTAACATCCTCCTTTGGTGTTAAGGTTTTATGTTTGTAGGCTCGAAATAGCCATGTCTTGACCTTGGCTGAACCAATTAGTCATTAAACTCTTTAGTATGAGGTCAGTTTGCCAGCTCTGGGATTATCGTGTTGTATTTTGATGCCCATGTCTTGGACGCATTAAATATAGTTATCTCAGTATCTCTGACCTGGATTTTTAAATGAGGCAGTATTATAATTAAAGTTTTATTGTCCATCGAGTACCTGTAAAGTTTTTAATTCCATTTATACAAAAACTATTACTTAGCATACCGATACGATTCTGTGAATCTCAGTGATATGAGATGTGAATTCAAACTTTTTGCTTTTAATCAACTTCTTGCGGTTTGAATTGACTAGTTTGCATTGGGTTGCCACCAAGACCTATCCATGTGATTAACTTATAGGCATATCGAGGTCTGTGGGACTATGACCACCTTTTATTCTGGTATTTTTTCAATGTTGTCTTGTAATCTTTAATTTTGAAGGCAGCAATCGTAGATTTTCTTATCAAATCGTAAAGCAGCCCTAAATTTGAAATATAGTATGAGTGCCCACTTTGCCCTGGCGTGAATGCGTAAGTGTAGGTGCTTGGCCAATTTTGCATTTCGCATTTGTAGAATTGTAAGCTAGCAGTGCACCAGCATTCGAATAAGTACTTAGCACTACTTTTCAGGCACACAAATGTAGAAGCAAACACTAGCACTAATAGTTTATTTCTTTCAAGCATTGCCATATCATTGCTTCGAATGATTATTGCCAACTCAATTTTATTGACCTTATTTAGTTCTAGCCCCTCTGTGTTTCCCTTAAGGTTTCCTCTTTACCTATTAGTCTGCTTGATTGTCATGTTCATGTTCGATTTCTTCACTTGTATTGTACCCCCTTCTGATAACTTGTCTCTTGAGTTCAACACTTTTAGCTCGACTTATCGCCTTAATTCTCTACTAATTGTGATTTACTGTAAGTGCTTAATAGTAAGTATACTTGAAAACATACAAAGTTCTGAAATCAATGAGATGTCGTCGGTTTTGTGAAAAATGACGGAATTTATCTTTTAGAGCTCAATTCTAATCACAATTGATATGCTAGGCAGCATACGCTATGGAATACGATTTCAAACAGTCTGTCCTTTCCCCTTTAGTGAACTGATCGAGCGCACATGTATGAAGAAAGATGATGTTGTAGCCACCCTCTCCTATCTCAATGTCCTTTATTACGTCAAAGGACAATACGTCATCTTTCTGAGTAAGGAGAATATTGAGGCCTATCGTCGTAGTAATGAGAGACGCACTGTGCGAATTGACCCTCAGTATCTCAATTGGAAACCCAAGGATTGGAGCAAACGTGGACGATGGTAGTCAAGATCTCCCTGTATATAGTTACTCTTCCCCCTAAAATTTGTATTGAAATATTGCGAATAGTCGAATTTCTTTTTTTTATACCACTCTTTACTCTCAGCAATATATGTATACAGCTAACCTCTAAGGTTTGATTTCGATATGAGCTGGTCTTCGATGTATCCAACTTGTATTCCTAAGTAATCATAGCACCATCTCACTCAAACAGTACAAGCGAACATTTCAAAGCACTGCATGGATTCGGTGCAGGTCTATTAAGCAGAATTCCCTAGCACAACGGCTGGGAAATTGGTAACGGAATTCGAGTTTCTAACCACAGAGAATGTTGACTGAATTCCCTTCCCTCTTACTGATACAATGCAGTAATTAAAGTGGTTGTCGAAAAATGTATTTATCACACTTCAATCATTAATAATAAAAATAATACAAAAATGGCATTCAAGAGAATAGTGATCTGTCTCTTTTCTGATTCGATACGGAGGAGGAATATTGGGCTTGCTGGCGGCGAATTCGTCTTCTCTTTTCAATGAATCTCTGACGATGTTGGCTTACTTTTCGTCCGTTGATCATTGGAACCTTCTTGGTTTCTTTCATAGTCATTGTGGGAACATCGGGCTTTTTGGAGGTCGTTGGTTTGGCAGCGTCCCCAGCCTATTTAAAGATAAAAAAGAACAACCAACCCTAAGTTCAATTAGTTCCACACGTATACGCAAAGTTGCTAATCACCAGACTAACTAGGAGGCATGAATTGTAAATCTGTGGACAGGGTTTAAAACTACTAAACTCTATTTTGCGATAAACTTTTGCTTTTATTAAAAATACCAATTCCGTTTTATGTAATATTACATGAATACTTATCTACGGAGTTGCCAGTATTCAGTTCAACTATTCTGACCTGTCCCACTCTATAAATTCTCGTGCATTCAGAAGTAGGATAGCTGCAGTCATTGGAATCCTCCTTGTTGAAGTGGCAGCTTCTGCAACATCTTCCTTTCTATAGACATTGCAGTTAATGCATACAGAAATGGTACCAGATCAGAGGAAACAAGTTCATCTTGGAGCCAATTATAATCTTAATATAACGCCAATAATTATACCTTATAAAGATGGCTCACTCGAGCACATTGCAAGAAAGGTTAGATTAAGACTGCAGCGCCACAGTATTTTTTTATGAAGTTCCATTTCTAGGTTTCAAAAAAGGAGACTATGGCTTTGATCACCAAGGAAATACCAAAAACTGAAAATATACTGAATGTATTTTAAAACGAGGTATATGTAAAGCGGAAAAACAGTACTTCCATTATAAAATTCAAGTGAAAAACGTAGGAAAGTAGGAAACCGGTTTCAAAACTTTGATTAGAAAACTTTGTTTGTAATTGAGAAAAGTGAGGAGCCTAAAAATAATTGCTACCATCGGGGAAAAACCCACTTGCCCAGCCCCACAAAATGTGCGTCTCAGCACATTGATGTTGAGATGACCATTTATAGCCGCTTCTTTACCCCCGTTGTGCTTTCCTCATACTCCTTAATTCATGTCTACACCTTCCTGACACCTTCCTAACAAGCTTCACATCCCTACACATTAGCTTGTCTAAGCTCTGAATCACTTTTTCTGCACGTCCTTCATAAGTAAATGTCTTTTAGATATTATTTACTTGGTACCTGGCTTATCTATTACAAACATGGGGTTAAAATAAGCTCAAATAACTTACTGAGAATTCTGAATTCACATCCAACGCGATCTTCGCGATGTGGGTAAAATGAACTTTAGAGCCGAGATTTGTCTCAGCTGGAATTTCTCCCGATGCAGAGGGGAATTGGAGATGGTCTGCGAGACGTTGAATTTCTTTCGCCGGCTTGCCAGCCAACTTGGCTTTCACCTGAGCCTCCCAGACTCGTTTTACCAGAGTGTAGATTCGCATTGTCGCCCGAGCATCTTCCACTGAATCGTGTTCGCCTGTCTGTACATTGACACCCAGTAGGCGCTCGGTGAGGGCTTTAAGAGAGGGGTTGCGGCCTTTGAATAGCCCTTTGAAAGGTCTGTAACGGGAGGTGTCACGAATGTCCCTCTTTGGATGTGACATCATGAGTACCTAAAGAGGAATTACAGCAGATTAGACAATTTACCATGATAGTATTCAATATTGTTTAATTCAATGAGAGAAAAAGCGTTCCACTTAGCTGTCTATCACTAATCTGTTAGCCTGATAAGTCACAATCATTTTTTACTTATTCTATTTACACTGGGGTTTAGGAAGGTCGCATCCGTAAACTGCATGAAAATTTCCCCCTAGAAAAGAGTTACAAGCATGGCATCTTTACTTGTTTTATATTTACCCAGTACTCACTTGGCATAACCAGCGAGACCTTTTCTTTTTGCCCTAGGATAGAACAATCAGTTTTTCTTGCCGAAATTTAGTTCAGTTAGGAAGAACAGGGAGGGGGAGGGGCTGAATTACGGCGAGGAAAACCTTGTTAAGACGTAGGCGTTGACTTCGTGTAGAGTATGTTTAGGTAAAGCTGATCATACACGTCTTTGGGAATTTCATTAAAAAATTAATACAAACCATCCTGAGTTGAAAAAATTCTCAAAGCACAAGCGTTTCTAAGCGATCAATTTTTGTTCAAAACGGGAAACCATAAAAGTACTATATCTTTGTTATTACCCCTTCTCAGAAGCAACTACCAATGTGGTTTCAAGTACATAAATAGAAATTTAAGACTTGGATTTCAAAAAGTCGAATCAAAGAAGCAATATTCACCTATTATTAGCACTGGCTTATCCGCACTATTTTTTTGCTGCAAGTCACTATAGAGAAAATTTATATTCGAGTAAGGTACTCTCCCTTAGTAGTCAATAAGTGCTGCCTAACTGGCGCCTGTAGTCAAGAAAACAGAATTATAACAGGAGTTAGTGTTTAATACAAGTTTAGAAGCCTTCCTTACCCTAAGATCATTGTGAACAGCATGTCCGACGAGAATGCGACCATTGCAGATCTCCATGACTTTGGCTTGTACCTCTTCAAAGGTTCTGGCAGGCCCGCCTGGGCGCATGTGATGCGGAGTGATGCCAGAGAATGCAGTTCGGTAGTCTGTTATTGTCTCTTTCGGTCGGACGTATTCATCCAACAGGACGTGGCCGAACTGATTCACAATGGAGACGCGTGCTAAAGCATCGTCTTTGCCACCGTAACCAACTCCCACGAACTCACAATCTAGAGCGATTGATCGGGTCAATCTGAAACAAATGTTAGGAGTTTTATTTGATCTAATAGATTAGGCGAAACAGTGCATGGATATATAAAAAATAATTTATCTTTTAAACACCATTGATTGTGTATTAAATTAACAAGATATACCACTTGAGTTGACAATTTGGTTGAAGTCGATTTAAATCACTTACATGGATCAATTAGATTAATAAAGTTAAACTCAATTATCCTACAAATATAGTATGAAGTTAAATAAGGGGAATTCTTAATGCACAATACAAATAGACTATAATATTAAATAGAACAATGAGATTGCTCGGAGCACTTTATTGGATTTGAAGATAGCTTAGAAATGCAAAATAACGATATAAAATCTCCTAATGGAACAAGTTGACAACTCAAGAACTTCACACTAATATTGAAGAATAAAAATTCATCCCGATATAGACAACTGGAGAGCAAAAGTTTAAGGTTGTGTGCTCATAAAGTTTGTCCATAGCAATAAAATCAACAGAAAGCTATTTGCGAACACTCTCCACTGTACATCAGTTAGAAATAATTGGGAGAAACAAATGCATACTCACCCACTGTAAGAGTTTGTTTTAACAAGGCATTTGCCCGTGGTATCCTCTTCATCCCTATCGGGCTTAAGAAGGGCCTTTGGCACACCAGAAAACCAAATCTTATTTGTTTTCCGACTTTTTCCTTCGAATTTCTTCTTGAACTTCTGTCTGAAGAAAAATTGTTATTTAGAGACGTTCAAAAAGATGGACAAAAACACTAAGGCAGATAATCTGATAGGTGATCATTCATTCCAATTATTTTACAAACAGTAAAAGGAGTCTAGTGTCTTGACAAATGCCCTTATAGACGATAAATAGTGAGCACCTGCCCAAGTGCTTTACCAAACCAAGGAACTTGACCTCTACCGTTAATCTCAGGACCTATCCCTCATGGTCTCTTTAATTCTTTTATTCAGCCTCTTGAATGATCAGTGAAGCAGTTATGAACACACAGAGTGAAAAATAAATTTATTATTACGGAAAAGAAATGACTTACTTGTTTATACCATTGGGTTGAGCGGTATTGTTGGTAGTCCCCTTCTCAGTAAGATTATTATGGACACACTGCTTTGAAACCATAGTAAGTTATATATCTGATTATCTAAAAGGAAATAAATGCAGTAGCCGAAAAGATTGAAAGCATAAAGAGGGAGAGCAGAATGTCAAAAAAACATAAGTGGAAACAAAAGACATTTATTAACAAAAAAGTTTAAACAAAATATCTGCGGCGATGAGATGCAAGACCGAATCTGAAAGAAAGCAAGGAAAGTTAAAACTACCATCGTAAACTCGTTCAAGGAGAGGCAAACTCACTAGTTCGACAGCAACTTGACATACTTGGACGGGTAACCAATTCGAGAAACGAGGTGTACATAGGGACTTAATCCCCCAACAAGAATTGAACCAGATAGATCACCCTCTAATTTAGGCAGTTCTATAGCAGTGAGAATGCAAGTCATTCTTCTCAAAGGATCATCTGAAGAGACAGTTTCAAAAAGCTGCGCCCCTGAGTGATCCCAAGCAACAAGACTACCCGAAGAACCTCCAGCGATTATTTTTGGGTCAGAGTGTGCCCCAACAAATTGACCAACAAGAGGATACCAATTTGAAGACTGTCCTAACAGATAATCGATGAGTGATCATAATTTAGCTCACTCATTGGCTCCAATACCGCCGCATGCTTTCTAGCTCGTCTATTCCATAGGGCCAACTTTGGGCCACCTCCAAGAACAAGCCACTGAGAATCGCTTGGCTGGACAGCTGCAACAGATAACCAGTTACCGAGAACTGGCCTCTGCAATTCAGGTACAAGCCCAGGGGTAATAGTAAGGGTAGGTTTCCAATTTTCAAACGATTCACGTAGATCCCAAAAGCAGGCAGTGCCATCTTCAGAACATGTTAAAAGCTAAGAAAATAAATGTTTAGATAAAAGAAACCTCATTAAAGTCCATCGAGGAAAGGGAATGAATTGGGAGCTGGCTACATTTAAAAGCACCTGACACCGTAAAATCGCCAGGATTAATTTCATAAACATAACCATTACTACATCCAGCGAAAACAGAACCGGAATCTTTTAAAGATGTAAGTGAATTCACCTAAAACAATAACTTCAGAATGTCTAAATTACGGATGGGCATTCAACAGAAGTTGAGTCCGTTTTCAAACGTATTGTCTTAAAATCCCCGTTACAACACTTTAGACTTGACCAACTTATGACCAGAATAGCTCCGCTTACACCAATAAATAAATAGTCCGTTTTGGTGAGTAAGCTGTATACATAAGAAATATTTGGAATTGAAAGCGTCATTAGTTTCCAATCATCATCTCCTTTGGAGCAATTAAAGCAATCCAGTGGAGCAAGTATTAGCGACCCGAAATTGGTGCCAAAAATAACGAGCTTTCCACAAGGTGATGTCGCACAACACTGAACAGAAATGTGTGCAAGCGCGTGTTTGTTCATTTTAAAGAAGGGTCACGCTGAGCCAGGCTGAAATGTTTAATATAAAATGGCCTTCAATTGTGCAGGCAATTGATATATATAAATATGTCATAAATAAAATTTGTTAACAAGTTAAAAATTTATTGTTAGTGCTTCTTTAGCCTTTTAAATGTTTTGACATTATAATTTGCTTTTTATTTAAGAACTAAGACCCTATAAGAATATATTTGGCCAAATATATTCATATAAATTATATTTTCACGTAATAAAAAGTAATATGATATTCTAATTATAATTTACATGAAGTATTTAATACTCTTTCCTTTTACTAGTATCTGTCTGTTGCGGAAGGCATGTATCATTTAACCTAAGCAATCACAATCGGATCTTGCGGTTATGTCGTCGTTCATTAAAGATGATCCTCGCCGTTCCAACAAAATTCATCGATATAGGCCTCCTGAAATGATAGGAGATGCATACATTGAGCTGGTTAATCTCTTTGGATTAGTTATGACAATTGGCGGTCTTTGGCTTCATAGCAAATTCTGTTCGTGGATCGCCGTCTTTTGCGCGCTCCTTACTATCACTAACTCTCGTTCTTCTGACGATATTAAACAGTTAATTACAATGACCCTCTTTGCCGCCTCTGTCCTTGTTATGTCTTATTACCAAAATCCTACGCCTCTGTCGCTTATGTAAATTTGTTCCTTTCTACATATTCACTTATATTGTGCTCTTGTGATTAAACTGTGAATCAAAATTCAGTTTTTTATTAAGTTATTTGCTATAAAGGATTTGTAAAAGATAGAAAAGAAAACTGTGTGGATTGCGTGCTTATTCTGCACGGTTGATGTGCTGTATGAGCCAGTCACAGTATTCATTTATTGTTTCCAATCCTTCAATGTGCCGAAAGATCTCGACGGGAATCGTCGATCTATCTTCCTTTGAGTCTCTTTCAATTTTTTCAGCTCCGAGATAGGCACCTGCAATGGCACATGCCATACATCCAATCGTATCCGTGTCATAGCCAATAGTTGATGAGTAGACACTGCATTTCACCATCAGATTCTATGAAAGAGAAATGAACATTTTATAACTATTCGTTGCATCGATTTTCGTTTCATCTCATATTTGACTCTATTTGTATTAGATTCGATGTGCACATAAGCTAAATCACAAGTCATTTTACTGATGCTCATTACTGAATTGACGCGAACAGGTGGATGCACCGTGAGTTTTTCATTGAGACTGGCGCAAAATACCCCCACTCAAGCCTAATTAATTTTTTGTCGAACTAGTTTTAGTGGGCTTCGTAAAAGGGCGCGATATTGATAACACGTGACTCCCCAGGGGTAGATTCAGAATATTGCTTGTAATAGTGATCAGCACCACTGGCAAGCGGTAATTTATTGACAGTAAAGGCCCAAAGGTGTCTTGTTTCTCACTCTATCTAAATTTCATCACATGACCTTGTAGACTTAGACTGTTCTTTCACGTAGGCGGCATACACTATGTAATGCAAATAGAGTAAATTTCAAACTGAGTTTCCGGTGAGAAGAACCCTGTTTCGTTCACGAATGCAACCGACATCAATTCGAGGACTCTCCATCTAGTAAAGGAGTGTTGTTCACTAATGTAAAGTAGTTCAGACAATCAGCACATTAAAAAACGTGCCAGAACTATCCAAATAAGTCAAAAATGGCATTACGACAAGTTCCTGGACTTAATCTGAAGTTTTTTTATTCAACTCAAACATTGTGGCGAATGTGATCTTGAATTACCCTAATAGATGTATTTGCACACTGGTTTTGTCATCATAATTGATCGTATGTGTCTCGTGTTTTTGTAATGTATCGTTTAAATTAGTCGGCTCCTGTATAGACATGTTCTTCATGGTCACTTGAGTGCACAAAATTGTCATCGATCTATGCAGAAGTCATCAAATACTGTCAGAAAATTCAGGGCCACGTCTTTTATAATCTGTGCCATGAGGCTTAAGAAATTGCCCATGAAAAATTTACGGAGAACCTCATATTACGTATGACCCATTTATTTTTTTCTATAAACTGATCAAAAATAATCTTTTGGCTTTTAACAATAGGGAGTTATTTCTCAATCAACCAGTGCTTACGGTCTCGAGAGTTTCAGGTCAGGCCACTTTAAATGCCTGCAACTGTGTGGGAAATTATTTAAACAGAAACTTACCTCATATGGTATTTCTGTCATCGGTTTTAGACATTGAAGAAACACGTAGAGAGCCGTCGGAATCGCTTCAATTGCGGGTTCACCGTTGCCTAGGCAGTAGATAAAAAACCATTTAGGTACTCAACTGACCTAATTATTCTGGTTTTTAATACTAATTATAGCATTCGAGCTTTTCTTACTTCCACTCATAATAATCAAATCCACTATTGACAATAGCCCTCCAATGCCTATGAGGACGTGAAAATAGGGACTAATTGGGACTTACAGCGACTCCTCAATAGAAGTTTAAATATCAAAAACATGACACTTGCAGCAGTGTAAGTGATAATATCGAAATACTTCAACACTGATGTAAAAGTGCGTACTTGTCAGAAATCCATATCGAGTATTTCCGGCGCGAAGTTCAAGCTTCACACCCGTT